CCAAAGCCATTCGATACAGTGTAAATTATATCTAAATAGACTCACTTCAACAACAACGGAACATGAGTCCGCTCACGCCACTCGCAGCATTTCAAATCCAGCAGATCACGTGCAATAATGGTCTTCTTTCGGCAGGGTGGCAATGGGCACATCGGGTCACCGCAATCTTTCGAGCATGTCCCATCAACCAAAGCCATTCGATACCTTGTACACTAGTCATGGAATTCTGCTACAGCTCGCTACTGACACCGCAGCGTTGCCGTCGCGACCGCGTTGGCGACCTCCCAAGCCCCCGCCACGTTCTCGACGTGCGACGGCGGAGCAATCCGAACCAGAGCACTCGGTCGTGACAGTGGCTCCTGGAGCCAACACGGCAGAGAATTGAATCCTCGCCATACCGCTAAAGATCGTGCGCCAGATTGCGCCTCAATACAATACGTGGCATCGTCTGCCGCATGGAGCTGGGCCCGGCATCATCATCTATGGCTACCGTGCTTCTTCTATCCACACATATAAAACTACCGGTATGTACACGGAATCTTATCGTTCTACAAGGATATCGTTGAAGTGCAGTTGACGACACCAGCTCCAGTGCATTGGATTTCCACACATTCGATGCTCACTCTGTTGTGTTGGTTTGTATCTCGCTGCCTGGACGAAACATTGTCTGGCCTAGGACGTTAAGCTGATCGATAGTTGCCGAAGCTGAGAGGGGCAAGATTCAAAGTGGTCTTCCGTCACATTTTGCGGAACGGATCGCTGATGCGACCTGATCTGGAGTTTGCATCGCTCGTCGGCGGACACCCAGGATCAGGACATATGCACGCGCTATTCGCTTATATGAGACGACGCATCCTCTCGCGCAGGACAAACGCGCGTTGACGCAACACGGCTGTCACTTCCATTCGCACTCGCTAAGTGAATTCGAGGCGGCTTCTTCATATGGTGGGAAGCCATGCGAGTTGATGCACGTTAGTCACAGTTCCACGCCCGCCAACGTTGACGCAGACACCCGCCCATCATTTGGCACGTCACTTGTGGATTTTCAATGGAGCCGCGGCAAGGCATCTACCTCTACGTGGCCGAGACGCCCGAGTCGACACCGCGTCAAAACCGTCGGTCACTGCACGGCACAGGGTCGTCGTCTTCGGCCAACACGACGCCGGGTGGTCGGCGTCCCCCGCCCCCCGAGCCCACGGGCGCCCGCACTGTCTTCACATCGCCGGGGCCGCGCACGGCATCGCCGTATTACATGCACGAGCTGCTGCCATCGACGCCCGAGACGCTTCGGCTCCAGAACGCACCGTCGGCCGA